AGCATTCCGTATTAATTTACATGTTACCATATTCAATGGACAGAATATGTTGTTAATGTACAAACCAATAGGCAATTCTGGTCCAACAAAAAAGGGAGTACAGCCTCTCCATTCTGGTGGTATAGCGGAAATTATGCCGTGCCAAAGGAGATATTGTCTAGGAGTAAACCCAATTTCTTGTAGTTGTGTCCAATTTTTTATTTTTCCATTTGAAATATAAAGGTCCGAGATATAGACAATGCCCTTTAAAATGAAATCTAGATAACACACACTCTTGTTATCAATGAGAATGTTGGCGTTATTCCAAATTATATTGCCAGTTTGCCAGAACACTTATCGTCCACTCAATATTTTGTTGCAATCTTCTTCCACTATATACCAGTTACAATAATCCTAGAGATCTGAGACGAAATTTGATAAACGATTTCTTGTGTAGGCTTAAGTTGACGATGGCCACTCCTCCTGTCGGACTGTATCCAACCGTTGAAATGGAAATACTGCACAATATCTTGAACCGTTGCTGTCGCTAGTCCAACTTCCTTGGCGATCATCAATAAACTATTTTTACCTAAGAAGAGACAAATAATCTCATTCCAAGTTTCTTCATTTACACACTTTGACAATATAGCAATAATTGTATACCGGGGTAACTTCAAAACTAAACTGTACTCACGAGGGTAATTCCATTATATGTTAGGGGTGTGAACCCTGGTTTGTTGTTTTGATTAACTGTCACATAGGCGGGTATGTCACTTTATTGCATCTACAACAGTCACTTGAGTGTCTGGGGATGTAGCAAAGTCTCTTGGTAATTGTCTACCAGGTGTGGGAGTTAGGTGTATATACGGTAGATATGTTGCGCCCACTGTAACCCGTTTTTAACATTTCTTAGCCCATTTAAGTGTTTCTGCACGTTTTCTTAGCACAGGCTAATGTTTATGACTTATCAGCCTGTGCTAAGGAGCTGTGTGCAAACACAGTAATGAAATCTGATTGGTCAATGACTATTAATGTTAAAAAGGAATAATTCTTTTTTTTTTTTATATTTTACAGATTTCAGTCAGAGAAATAGTTACCAATGGTAATAGTTACCAATACTACACACTCAATTAGTGAGTGGCCAGAATAACTGTGGAAAATATGTTTCTTTTGTAAATTATGGGAAGACAACAATAGTGGAATTGTGAAAATGGTTTTTGATTTTTTACTGCAATTTATCGATACAAACATTGGAAACATAAGGCTGAATTGTAAAGTTTTATAAATACATTGTATATAGTTTTTATATACATACACCATAAGAAATCGAGGCTAAGCATTCACAAAATATTGTAAGTGAATTTCACTGCATGGTAAAGCATTTAAAACAAAGGCTGCATAATTTGGTAAAATTACATTCTCACTTTGCATGTCCTTGTTTCTGCCAAGTGCAGATCAGCTTCAGGATTTGTTGCCATAACAACTGATTTTATCATTTCTCATGGTTATCACGATAATCATGGGGAGGTGTTCTGCAAATACAATGTGGGAATGCAACTTAAAATTAATAACTTTTTCAATATTCATTTTCTTTTTAATGGGCATTTAAAACTGAGGCTGAAATGTAAATTTGGACATTTGTTGATTATTTTTCTGCAGTAAAAGTTACCAAATATGTGGACCCATGTTCTTCTCTGCTCTGGTCAAATTTACATTATATTGTATATAGTAAATGTTTCTGAATTGTAAATAATAATAATTTATTGCTTCAGATATGTTGATATCATTTTAATAGTTTGTTAAATTACAAATTTGTGATATATTTTTGTATTAGACAGGTTCCCACTCACTGTTATGCTTGAAATAGAACTTAAAAACAGGACAAATGAAGGCCATAGCGTCATTGTGACATCAAACATTTGCATGAAATTCAACAAACGTGTAACTATTTTTTGGGCTTACTAATGTGCTATAAACATCTGATGATTGTCAATTTTTCCTAACTTACGGTAGTATAGCTTATATTCCCTTATGAAATTTCGACATTGAACTGTAAAAAGAAATGCAGGTTCAAAATCAAGTCATTTGATTTTTGCAGCAGACGTTCAGTCTGCACCTTTCACGCATTATGTGAGATCTCACAATGAACGAAAAATCACCTACTTATATTAGCTACATGCATGGTAACCATAGTAATGCCTAACAACTAACTACAAACCATTTATCAGGCATATCTAATGCCCTGTGATTTTTTTCCAGGAATGAAACTACACTATTCACTCATGTGAGCAAAAAACATTCGTTTTGGTGAGATTTTTTGTCATCGAATACACATTGTTCTATTTACAATAACCTTCTCAAAGGGTCACTCACATAAACTGGTGTGCTTCTAAATTAACCAAAAGAAGCTGACTATGGTACAGTTTTACATTCTCTGGGTTTTTTGTTGTTAACCAGTGTTCACTAGTGTTGATTCTGATGCTAGGGGGAGGAGGTAATTGTATGACTCCTACCATCTCTAGAATAGCTTATTAATCTTATGCTTTAAATACAGAAATAAAATTTTAAATTACATCACTTTCCAACTTTGCAAGTAAATTTTAATGACCCCCACCCCCAAATATCAAGTGCAACTCAAAACTCACAGTTACGAACAGTATCAAAAGTAGTATTTTTACCTTAAAATTATTGAGCATACCAAAAGCCTTTGTTGAATAAATAAGAGTATGTCAATTTCGTTTATTTGCACTTGTATCGTGTTTGATTTAAGTTTAGTGTGCTCACTTTAAAATACAAATAACTTTTCAAAGTATGACAGCTTAATGTTTTCATGTTTATTTACAGTGTGATATATGCAATAATGAGTTTTGAAAGTGTTGTGTGATTTTGTATAATTTTGAAAATAAATTCTATTTTAGTGTTATACCCCGGTAATAATGATATTTCTAATATTTCAAATATCTAGAATTGATGTATAAATGATTTTATATTGTCAAATTTAAACTCATGCTTAAAATTTAAAATTAAATTAAATTGTTTATTTAAATTAACATATCTTATCGAACTCAATTTTTGATAACTTTTCACAAACCACAAAGCATTTCAGTACTCAAAACGAATAATTATGCATGTGGCCTATAGAGGGCGATGATGCATGGTGATTCCCACTATTCAGTACAATTAGTCTAATCCACTTCTATTGTTGTCATTTTCTTTATTCAGTCTTTGCTGTATAATAACATCCAGCTTTCATACACACACATACTTGCAATTATCAACAACACAATTACAGAACTAACAAACATCAAGTCCACTTGACGTACATTCAAGGATATCTTTTGAGTAGAGACACAATACAACAATGCATGTTTTTTGCTCACTCTTGTGTTTAGCTTTTCTGTGAATTCAATGGAATATCTGTTTTAATCCTATTTAGAGTATTAACCTTGCGTGCAAAATCCCAAGATTTTAAAAGTGAACATCAATGTTAAAAAAAAAGAAAAAAATGTGTTTGCAACTGAAAAAAATCTTGCTGAAGACGTGTGCTGGTTGCTTAACTAATTTCCATGTACAAAATACTGTTTAACAAATTTTCAAAATCGCCAAACAGTTTTAGCAATGAAAATTACACACTGAGAATCACAGCAAATTTTGCACCAATTCCATTAAATCCTCAACATCGTGAAAACACCTTGTAGTACTGTAAAATCTGTATTAGAAACCACAGCTTCTATTAAAATGGTACAATGCAACAGAGGGAATGCAGTCTTCTATTAGAGCATTTACACATATGAGTAATGATTATTTTTTGGTTCTCAATTATTCAAAAAGAATGGGTGCGACTTCTATTAGGGATGCGGCTTCTAATACAGATTTTACGGTATATGTAATATGGTCAACAGTAAAAATTAGAACTCTGCTATTAATATTTTTTACATATATCTTAATTCTCGGTAGCAAAATATAAAATAAACCAGGTTGACCCTTAAACTGAACTGAACTGACCTGACCCCTACACATAATAACCTGTTCCTAACCCGCATTAAATTTTGGTTAATTATTAACTGAATTTCATTCATATGTTATTCATTTCACTAGTGTGACATACCCATATCAAATTAAACTTAAATATTTAAACAGTCTTTATATAAAAACTACAATCATACCTATAAACTTTTCTACATTT